TTAGACTCTTGGCACTCTTAGGTGAGCAGACTTAGTCAGCCTGTGTTGCCCTAACACCCCGTTGGCTTGTTTGCACCAGAGGAAATGCATCCTGAGCTGCACAGCATCAGTGCCATTCCTTCAAGATTATGTATACTAACTGGATCAATAACTCAGATTAACTCTGTCCCAAATTTCCCCAATGTTGACTTGGGCTATACAGGCAGCATGATTGCTTTGTTCATGGCCATCTTGGTTTACTGTGGCCCAATCAAACCCTATACCTGTTCATTCAAATAAAAAACATACCTATCAATGGCCTGCATCCTGTTTCTTGATGTCATAGCACTCCTGGCAGAGGAAGACAATTTGTTCATTTGAGGTAGACACCACTGGGTAGTGTTTTGTGTGGCTTGGCAGTATCTTGGGGCAATGATAACAGTGGAAATCTCTATGCATGTTGGCATCCTTGGTAAACTCAGTGGTAATCATAGTTGAGACATATGGAAGATGTAGGACAGTGGCTTGAAGTTGGGGGATGGTATGTCCTTCAATGCAGGCTTTGTTGGCCCCTTTATACAAACCAGACAGACAGCGTTCTCCCTCTCTGTATGACTCTGGATGTTCAAAGATGAAGTTGGGGGCCCCATGGGGAAGAATTTTGGTCCTGTCTGAATGCTTCTTATTGTTGTTAAAACATTCTCACCAAGTGTCCAATTCACTCTGCAGATAAGGGACAAAAATCCACAGGAATACATGTCTGTGGATTGGTCATCTCCAGCAGTGTGATGATGTGCCTGCCGCTCACCTGTGAAGGGTATCATTTGGATTGTACCATTTCTTGAGCACACCTTCTTCCAATAGATCTTCAAAGCCAGGCATGAAGTGTCATTGCAACTGAGACCAGGCAATCTCCAGTTTCACATTTTTCTTCATGTGCATCCAATGATGTTGCACAGTGCCAACAAGGTTAGGGTCATGCTAGTGTCAGAGCACAGTTTGTGCTTTGACCACCCTGAAGTTTTCTGATCCTGGGTCACTCTGAGTGACCAATGGCATTACTATGAAGGCTCGGATCAGTTGACCCTTCCAATCAGCTTAATGGGTTGCTCACTTCCCAACTCTTCCACACAGTCTAGATAGTATTGGCAGATCAGTTCCAGTTTCTTGTTTGTCCTCCACACACAAAGCCACATAATTCTCCCCAAGAATGGTTCCTCTGCTGTATGCAAGAAGAGGCCATAACACTGCCATTTGTCATGTTGATCCAAGCACCACAGATCACCCACACCTGCACACCAAAATCTTTTCCTCTTCAGCTGCCACGCCCTCCTCTCTTGCACAAGGTCGGGTTTGTACAACTTCATGTATTGATGCACCACTGCCCACTTCACCTGCACACCATCAGCATGCAGGTGCATCATCATATCAAACACCCTGATGTTGGGGTATTTGGCCCAAATCCTCAGAATGTAGGGACAGATCGACTCTACAGTATGGTCCACAGATTGAGAGCACTCCAATCCAAGGGATTTGCATTTCCTGGAATTTCCTAATTCTGCGCTCCTGTGAGCCTGATATTTCACTGTATTGCTTTCCTTGACACACCTGAGGCTGTACTTCCCAGTGTCCAGGTGATACATTAGGAGATGGTCCAGGATCTCATTGTCATTCATGCACATGGCCCAGTACTTCTGAACATGTGGTTCTATGTCCTCCAGTTGTGCTGTAATACAGGTCAACAGATGTTCTTGGCTGAAGCATTGGCCCATACAGTTGGGTAGTTTCCAATTACTACCAAGCAGGTTGGGCATAGTGAGCAGGTGGTTGTTTGAAGCAGGATGCAGGCAACCATGTGTTCAGGGTTCACATGTCCTTGTAAAGCAGGCTTCTGAAACACACTTCATGCACATGTTCCAGAAGCCTGCTTAAGGACCAGTTATAGTCGGTTTCTTGACATGGCAGCAGGCATGCAACAGGTCTCAGAAGAGTGTGCTGAGCATATGGATTCTACCTAAGGTACAATCAACTACTTCTGAGATGGAAGAGACCATGTGAGACACTCACCATACCAATCATATTGGGAAATTAGAGTCAATATTCTATGACCTATGGCATGGGCCTGGGCTCTGGGGTTACTCTATTTGACACTTATCTCCCTCTGCATTTTCTAGGTGGCTGAAACATGGGATGCATGGAATGACGTGTGGGTCTAGCCCTGCACACTAATTGTTTCACCCAAAGGATAGGCAGTTATTCGAATGGGATGAGCCCTACATGAGTAACTGCTGCTATCTGCTGCCTTCCAGCTTGTCCACATGGTGGGGGAGGGGTCCACGTTCTTTGGGCATTCATCTGGGAGCACTGCTGGAAGGTGAGATGAATAAATGGGGAGTGGGACTAGCCCTGCACCCCAGTTTATTCACCCACAGGATAGGCAGTTGCTCAAATGGGACGAGCCCTGCACGAACAACTGCTGCTATCTGCCACCTTCCAGTTTCTGCATATGGTGGGGGAGGGAGTTGACCATTGTGTATGTGCGCTCCAACTCAAAATGAATGGGGTGCAGGGCACAGTCAGCTGGGTGAGATTGCTTTTGCCATCCCTCTTGCCAAATGTGCACCTGTACCACAGATGGTGGAGGTTGGAGTTAAACCACTTTTTCTGCTTCTGCCCTCATGAGTGAACCCTAGCTGGGAGTGGATTTTGCATGGTTTAATCCCATGGATGCTAATCTACACCCACAGCGCATTCAATGTGTCATATCAGACCACATTGCTAAGGCAACAATGACCACTAAAACCACACCTGACCCTATATAAACTCCCTATTCAACCACTGCTTCACTCTCTAAACCACTGCTTCCCTAACTTGGCAGCCCTCCACACAATGGCCCACAAGTGCTTGTTCATCTCTACTGGTGAATCCCATGCCAAACAGGCATGTAAATCCCATGCTTGTCAAGCTGGTGCACAGTCAGGCAATACATCTGGGGATAACTGAGAAGACACTGTCCTACCACCCAATACTGTCCTGGACAGAAATTGCAAGTATCGGTACATGTCACAGCATGCCTGGCCAGACTTTGAGGTCAACAACACAGAGTGGCACTGGGACAAAGATCACTGGGACCTGCGCAAAACTGTCAGGGACAGGCCAGATGGAATCATACTGCTCAATTGTATTCCTGCCCCCCCTCCCAAAAATGACATTGAGATGGGGCAGGATCTGTCTTGGGTAAGTCACATTTCCCAACTGTTTGCTATTCCATATTCACTCCCATGCTATGTCAGCTCTGGAGTATTAACTGTTGTGTCTTTGAATATGTGACATCAAATAAGACAATTTGAACTCACCCATATGCAAGAGCATGAGTGAGTGGCATGAGCTTCTGATGTTATGCTCATTCTGTAAAGTCTTTGGGAACCTGGCATGACAGAAGCCAAACTGCAATCTGTTTGGTGCTTGTGCTACAAACAAGAGCAACAAAACAGGTCAACCAAAAACCACAAGCATGAGGACTTCTATTTTCAACACAATGATGAAGATGACAATTTCGAGGTTCTCATCATCCAAGGACACCTCTGGGATGAGGAGTTGCAGGTAAAACTATGGGACTCCACTCCGTTCAAAGTGACTTATGTGTCCCTAGCAAATCATGTATGCCCTGCAATGGAAAGATGAGGAACTAGAGGAGGTGGTGGTTGACTTGCTGGATGGTGCCCAAGGCTATCCCCATCCCTGGAGCGATCAGGAAGGAGAGGAGGCCACCAGCATATTCCAATTCCTGTGGAGAAAGCCTCATTCCACCCTCATGTGAGTAGTCTCAAAATCTACGCCTGTGTCCATGATTTAATGGTGTAACAGTGACACTGCGTGTGTGGCACTGTACATCTATTGGAAGGGAGTCCCTACCTTGGAACCCATGCTTCAGCAACCAGAATTTCAAGAACTGCTTGTGAGCAATGAAGCCCAGTTGGTCACAAGGAATGCCTGCAATATTTCCAGTGGCTGTATATCTATGCAAAGTGTTTATGTCTGTGCAGTCTCCACTTGGGGGTACCTGCACGCTTATACTGTTTTTAGGACACCCTGGGCCACCCAGACAGAATCAAGCACTTGGACCATGAGGTGAGCACAATGCCCCAGGTGACACCTGTCATGTTTATAATCTATACTCAGATTTGCAATATCTGCTGGATGAGGTGCCCAGCCATGGCTCTCATCAAGTGTTCAGCATGCACCTGAACATTCTGCATCAATTCTCCTATTGGTCTTGGCTGTGCACATATCACCAGTCAAGACATTCAGAAATTTGATTTTCCAATCAAGTGCATACAGTGCTACTGGGGCGAAATGGGGGCTATACACATACCGGTATGCTCGCTTGCCTGCCTTTGGACATGCACTGATGAGCACAGTACACCTATGCAGGAACATTGGCCAAGTGGCACAGCAAGCTGGTGCAGAACCTCCTGTGCTTGTTCCTTATTGTGCACATCAGTGAAGAAGGCACAGATCCCTCCATGTACAACAGTGTACGCATGGCCAGCATCACCTTTGCATGTGAACATCTGCCTGTGAATGTGGTGGTAAGTCATTGGATGTGTCTGATTCATGTCACTGACACTAGTCCCCTCTCTAGGATCCATGCTACATTTGCCTCAACTTGTACAAAGATGTTGGCCCTACCTTTAGGCAGGGTGGATCCACCAGTCCAATCTCATTGGATGACGATGGGCGGGCCTTGAAGGAAGCCGTGCAAGCTAGAGTTGAGATGATGAAGACGGAGTATGTATGAGATTATGTGTTGAAACCCAACTCACATGCATTCAGTTATGGCAGCACATTCTGCATCATCATGATCATTGCAACCCACTGCAACATGAGAACAGGTGATTTGCTGTTGCCCCTCCAGTATTCCAGGAAGAAGATGTTTTGCCCTTTGAGCAATGTATGTCTGCCCTTGACTCACCCACTCAGAAACTGTCAGGGCACCAGCTCATTGCTTGGTCAAGAGACATGACTAAGCCTTTANGACATGGAAGTAGCTGGTATACCTTGGCATGTGCTGGAACCTGCTGGAAGGATTGGA